CCTCCCGAGACACCTGAATCTCCCTGTCCAGGGATGAGGTCGACTTGTCCCACTGCACCAGGATGTCCCTCTGGAGGACCCTGGTGTGATGTTGAGCAAAGGGCACCGCCTCGAAGGAGGCCACCATGAGACCCAGGACCTGCATGCAGCAACGAATGGACGACCACCGGCGAGACCGCAACAGGCGAACGCAGTGGCGAAGCTTCTGCAGTTTGTCCGGGGGAAGAAACACCCTGGCCGCGACCGTGTCCAGGGCCATATACTCCAGGCGAGGGGAAGGCACCAAGCAAGACTTCTGGATGTTCAGGATCCAGCCGAACTCCTCCAGGGAACGCACCGTGACCCCCAACGCCGACACCAGAGAGGAATGGGACTTCGCTCGCAGGAGCAGATCGTCCAAGTACCCCACGATCGAAATCCCCCAGCAACGCAGCAGCCCCAGAACCGGCGCCAGCACCTTGGTGAACACCCGTGGGGCCGACGCCAGGCTGAAGGGCAGCACAACGAACTGGAAATGCTCGTCCCCCACCGCGAAACGCAGAAATCGCTGATGAGATGCGCAAATAGGCACATGAAGGTAGGCATCTTTGATGTCGATAGAGGCCAACAAGTCCTCCGGACGAAGGTACGTCACCACAGATCGAATCGATTCCATGCGGAAGCGACGGACCCGCACAAAAGGTGTTTAGGCGTTTGAGGTCCAGAATGGGCCGAACCCCCTCCTTCTTGGACACCGTGAACCCAGGTGTCTGAGACGTGAGCCACCCAGAAGTCCGCAAAGAGCCGAAGGCGCGCCCCCACCCCCCCCCGGAACCCTCTCTTACCCCCCCCATCAGATCCTTAATGATCTCATCCAAGGAAGCGCCAAACAAGCGGTCCACCGTAAAGGGAAGCTCTGTCAGAGCCTTTTTTGAAGCCTGGTCAGCCGACCAGCACTTCAGCCAAAACAAACGACGAAGGGTGACCGCCGTCATCGACACTTGCGACACCAGGGGTGCGGCATCCAGGGCCGAATTGCACACAAACTTAAGACCCTGCACCAGCTGCTCCGCCAAATCCACGTAGGCGGGGGAGACCTGTTCCTCCCCCAGCCCCTGATGAAGCATCTTCGCCCATTCAGTCAGGGTCGCGAAACCAGGGCAGACGCCAGGACCGGGCGCATCAAAGCCCCAGACACGGAAAACAAGGTGCGGGAAACCGCCTCAGCCTTCCGATCGGTGGGGTCCTTAAAGGACGGCGAATCCTCAACCGGGATAAGAGTGGCCTTGTTCAAGCGGGAGACCGGGGGGTCCACCACCGGCGCAGTGGCCCACTTGGACAGGAAACCTTCCTCAAATGGATAGCGAACCGAAAATCGCTTCGGAACCGCAAAGGATTTGGACAGGCGTTTCCACTCCTTATAAATGAACTCGTTAAAAAAAGGAATGTAGGGAAACACCTTAGCGGAACGCTTGCCCTGTGAGGGCTGTGGCCATGTGAGGGCTGTGGGCTGCGCTCGGCGGACCCCTCTAGATCACCTCTCTGCGCTGCCTGTACGCCTGCGCTTCTCTGCCAGTCGACTCTGCGCCCTTCGGGGTCCCTACGATCCACAGCCCCCGCACAGCAGCAAAAACTGCCCACCAGAGAATCACCACCAGGCCACAGGGAGACCACCCGCAGTACTCACGACCCCCAGCTGTGTCACTGTGTCCAGCACCGGCACCGTCCGACCCCCAGCAAGGGAGAGCTGAACCCTGTGTCCTTCCTGCAGCGGCGTCTGAGGCCGAAAGGAAGTGTGTCCTCGGCCGTCCGGGGATGAAGAGAGCCTTGGCGGAAGTGACGCGGCAGAAAGGGCAGCTTGCCCTATTCCAAAATGGCGCCCGCGACGACACCCGGAGGCCGCAATGGAGCCGGGCCTCGATTTTCGGCCCGGCCGCCGCATGATCGCGGCCGTACCCGCGAGCGCCCAGGCAGCCCCTCACCGCACCACAGAGGCCGTATGCAGCCGCTTGTCGCTGTCCCCACAGCGCTGGCATCCACAACCCCAGGTCCAGCAGGGGAGTGGAAGAAGGCGGACGCCCCCGACCGCAGACGCGGCGCCGCCAGTCCATGGAAGTGCTGTGACATGTGCACCCCGGGGAACGAAAGTCGCAGCCGACCCGCCGAGGCAGAGCCTGCATGCGCTCGATGGCCACCCAGGGTAGACTACCAGGATCCATCACCATCCAGCATGGTGACACTTGCTAGCAGATCCGAGAAAAAAAACGGAAGGAAAAGAAAATTTCCAGAGAGAATTTTTTTTTAGCTCCTTACTCCTGACGCTAGGCAAAAAACTGGAGACTTGTCAGCAGGTGGGGGGTTGGGCCACCAGCAGGGGCCGTCCCTAGGCTGTCTGTGTCTTTTTGTTATGTGCCTAGCGTCCTACTCCTGCAGGTGGCCCTGTGTCCTTCAATGAACGGGAGAGAAAGAAACATGATCTATTTAAGTTTTTAGAGACTGTAGGAATATACTTATTAAATAATGCAAAACATGGTTCACATGAGACTCATGCCTTGGTAATTTTATAGACACACACACTTTGTCCCAAAATGTACATACTTTAGAACATAGCCACCATATGCGATACATCAAACCCACACTGTCACATCCTCAAACACTGCGAGGAGGATCTCGGATGAATATTCACCAAATTGGCTGGAACTAGATACCATCGTGTCAGGACCTTGATATTGGCTTTAAAAGGAGAACTATGGGGTCAGTGTTTTTCCCCATAGTTCTCCTTAGGGTAACGGGAGGACACAAACTAGCGTCCTCCCGTTACCCTAAGCTCAGTATACCGCGAGCTACAGCTCGCGGTATACTGAGACGCCGCAGCCGGAGCGGATCCCGACACCGAGATCCACCCAGCTGCGTGAGTGACAGCTGGCTCTGCCTATCTAGAGGCAGAGCCAGCTGTCCCCTCCCCCGTCTGTTCCGCCAGTCAGCACTGGCGGATTGGGGAGGGGGGAGTCCAGCCCCTCCCCTGTCACTGTAGAGAGCCGTGACAGGATCGAGAGGTGAGCAAACACCGGCATCTGTTCGCTCACCTCCCGATCTACTGAGCAGACCTGTGAAAGTCTCATTGTCACAGGTCGGCTAGAACTATGAGGTGAGTGGAAATTCGATTAGTTCTCCTTTAAATAATCAAACATTTAGAAGGCCTCTTGATGCTCTTGTACAACATTGATGCCACTCCTCCAGTGAAATCTCATAACTGATTTCTCGTTCCCATGCTGTCATATAAAATAGTTTGGATGGTAAATCCATTAAAATAGAGTAAATATATGTAATACCCCCTCAGGGTTTCAGGGTGTTCATATTTGGTATGAATGGGGATGGGTGGTGGTACAGGGCCCAAGGATGACACAAAGTGACTAATCTGCATAAAATGGTGGCATACACAGTCTTTCCTTACAATATGTCAAATAGATAGGTTTACGATCTCTAAAAAAATCACTAATCCAATACAACCCCTTGTGCAACCACCATTTAAAGGCCTGTGGCTGAAATTCTGGAGGAAAATTCAGATTGTAGAAGAGAGGAGCTAGGAGAGTATGCAGTGACAAACTATAACATCTCCTTAACCTATCCCACAAAAATATAGAATGAGACAATGTATGGGGCTAAAATAACAGGACGTTGTTTGGGAGAAAGCTATTTTAATAAACATATTGAAACATTAGGAGCTGATTTAGTTTCCATAGATACCCAATCTGGGTGCTCTCCTTAGGCGTACACCGTGGATAGTTGTACCAACTGAGCTGCCCGATAATATAACCATAGATAAGACACTCCCAGGAGATCTTATACCAAAGCTTGTATCAAGTGTATTTAAAACCAATTAAAAATTCAGATTTAATCACTTTAGTTTTTAATGGACTTGACACAAGTCTCGGTATAAGATCTCCTGGGGGTGTGTGGAAACATGTAATGGGGTAAAACCAGTGACACTGGTGCAATAGAAGAGCACACTACATAGTAAAGAGACTAGAGTTTCCACGTGAATGATGAGCTGCAATAAGAAGCAAGTCATGTAACTGCAATGTTAATGACATGCACAACAAGGAGGATGCTCTATTCTAAACATTTACAGAGAATGGAGACATACAAGAATAGTGAATGTAAGAAACGTGTGGAATGGAGGGCTACAGGTGGAGGGGAACATTGGACAGCACTGAACACAGCAGCGGTGGAGATTGTTACTGTTGAGACTGCCGGGTGGAGGACTGACTTCATCAGTGGACTGTTTCTCACGGGATTAAGAGGCAAGTGTAGTTTTCTGATTCCCAGAATATACAAAACTGTGTCACAAGTGAACTGTGATTGTGCTGAACCTGAGAATATTTTGCTTGTGATAATTTTTTGGGGAAGCTTGTGAAGAGAAGTATCCATATAAAGTGAATATACATTTTTGAGGTATTCCAGAGAGGAAGCGTAGCATATGAAGTTGTTTTCAGTCTAACTTGGAGTAAGTTGTAACAACTGGGCAATCTATGGTGCGCTTCAGAAAACTTACATTTGGTCACATTTATATCCCATCACATCCTGTCACTCCTCTTCCCCTCACCTCCCTCTAGAGGTGGCTGGAGGCAGAAAGAGAAGATGTGTCTGAACCTCTTGATTATCCACAAGACAGGTTTGCCTTGCAGTGTTGAAAGTGCACTTACTCTGAAATAAATGCAATCTGGGTGCATTTACCTGCCTAGATTTTCCCAGAAATAAACAATTTGGTTTTTGGTTTCAGCAGATGTTCAAACAGATTGGGCCTGGTGGCTGATAGATTTGTAGTTTTATAAATGTGGTGAATGTTGCGGACATGTGCTCTATATAACTAAATCACACAGTGAAAGATGAGGCAGAGTGCCAGCAGCAAATAATTCACCTCTTTACAAGTAAGCCCTAAAGTGTTTATATGAAATCCTTATGAAATAGTCCTTATAGACCATTTAATGGACAGGCAAGGAGCCTTGTAAAATGCTCACCTATTTGTCCATGGGAAAACTGAAGTATTTCTATTCCATCAGGATATGTTGTGTGTGTAGTCTGAGCATCAGCATAGTAATAAATCTGGAAGACAACCAGAAAACATGATGATTACTACAAAAACACGGCTGCACCAAAATATATTATTAAACCAAGTACCTACCACTCTCTGATCTGCCATCACTTGCTTGACATCTCCATTAAAGAAGGTCACAGTCGTGGCTTTTCCATCAGCGCTCACTTCCTTCCGTGTCCCATTTGGAAATAAAATAACGTGACAGCCATTTTTCAGAATCCGCTCCACCTAGAGGGAAGTATGTATGTTAACCTCTATTACGGCAAGATTCTAAACCAACTGACAGGTGCATGGAAAGGTCCTGGACAGATGTCTGAATATGCCAAACCTTAAGAACTTCTCTTTCAATTCCCTAACATACACTTAGAAATGAGTGCACTTTGCAGCTACAGCAGTTATTAAATGCCATACTGGAACTGTAATCCATTTAATACGTTCGTTTATATTTTATTTGCTCTCGTTGCAGCCTCCAAAGCAATGCCTCCATTTCTGTTAGGTCATAGATGGCTTAAACGTATTTCCACTTTTTCCAGGTACATTTGAGTAAATGTATCCTACTGTTCTAGATGTTTGGAGCAGGCTTTTGGTCAGGCTGGAAGCTACTCTGAACAATTTATAAGCAAGAGTGGAGAGGGACATAGTGGGGAATGGACTACTGTCATTAACATACAATTCAGAACACGAGCTTCAAGATCTTTAACCCAGTGTTAGGATAGACAGTGTTGCAACTAACAATGAGATATGCCAGCACAGTGCCAATGGGGTTAAATTATGGTACACATTAACTCCACAATCCCATCCTTAACACTGCACAGCTGGAGAAGACTGTTTTTTTTGGGAGTTTTCAGAAAAAAGAGCGAGTAAAAATATACGCGGCAATTTTCTATTTATTTTTTTTGTAATCATGTGCTACTAGAATAGGAACATGTAGCAAATATAAAGGAGATGTTATGCCAATTTGGTTGCAAAAGTGGAAATATATTTTGAGACTATTTAATCAAAACATACATGAGGCAAATACAGTAATCTGTTACTTTAGTCACAAAAATGACAATTGCAACTAAATAGTGTCACAGCATCCTTCTACTGTTGGTGATTAACAACTATGATAAAAGGCAAGGGGGCTTCTGTGTAATAAAGAATAGGCCTACTTCTAGCATAGCATCAGACAAGACATGTATGGTCTTAAAGGAGAACTATGAGGTTAAGGCTTTTCCCCATAGTTCTCCTTAGGGTAACGGGAGGACACAAACTAGCGTCCTCCCGTCACCCTAAGCCCAGTATACCGCGAGGTACAGCTTGCGGTATACGGAGACGCCGCAGCTGAAGCGGATCCCGACAATTATGTCTGGATCCGCCCAGCTGCGTGAGTGACAGCTGGCTCTGCCTATCTAGAAGCAGAGCCAGCTGTACCTGCCCCCTCCCGATCCGCCAGTCAGCGCTGGCGGAGCGGGGAATCCAGCCCCTCCCCTGTCACGGCAGAGAGCCGTGACAGGATCGAGAGGTGAGCGAACACCTCTATTCAGCTGCTTGCTTCAGCAACATTAGAGGCAAGCTATCATTTTTAAATCTTTGTAAAAAATGTGTATTAACCCTTACAGTGGGGCTACCAGGCTGCAAGAGTTAAAGCAACACTAAACTCAGAAATTAAATAATAAAAGTATTTCATATTATAGAAATAATAAATGACTGTGTGTACCTTTTATGTCATTGTTCAGCTCTAAAGGCTCCAAAATGAATTGTATTTCTCTCCAGCCACAACTTCCTGCCAGAGAGTGGCTTCCTTTCTTCTCCATGGTCCCTTTGTGAGCTGAAAAGTAACCATCCTCTGTGCTGGTTCATGGAAAGGACTACAACATGCTGTGGGCGTGTCTTCTCAGTCTCCACCCACAACTCCTCCCTTCTAGACTCTGCAAGGAGCTGGGATTTCTTCAGCTCTCTCACACTAATATATGATCTTTGATTTCTCTCCTCCTGGCTCACCAAGGAGGGAGGGTGGGGGGAAGAGAGGAGATTCATCATGTGAGCTGTCACCAGCCTCATACTTTCTTCTGAGTCTCAGCTCACATGTCACAGCTAGGACTGGAAATTACACAATTTTATAAGTGTGGAAGGGACTGAATTATATTGTTATATGGCAGGAAGAGCCAAACTCCGGCCCTCCAGCTGTGATGGAACTACAAATCCCATGTGGCATTGCAAGATTCTCACAGACAAGACTACCGGAGAGAGATGCATCATGGGATTTGTAGTTACACCACAGCTGGAGGGCTGGAGTTTGGCTATCCCTGTTATATGGTGTGGGTGTGTGTGGGGGAGCTGGGAATTATATTTTATATGTGTGTGGGGGGACTGGGATTGTGTGTATATTATGTTATATGTGCAGGGATAGGTTTTTTTTAATGTGAATGGCGGGAGGGGGTTGGGGGGGTCAGAGAGAGAGTATAAGGCTCCATTCACACCTGTATCATTAGGTGCAATTAGGGATTCCTGCATCAGGAATCCCTAATCTGGCGTTCACAAGCGGCCGCTGTCACCCATTCAAGTTAATGATCAGGTGACCGAAGTTGCGTGTAAACTCCCGCACAACGCATGTAATGGTAAGTGATATGATTACATTCGGTTAGGAATCAATCACTCTCCCTGGACGCAATGATTGTGCATTCAGGGAGAGTGTTTTCTAACTGCATGTAATAATATCACATACAATTACATGCCGTGTGCAGGCGTTTACATGGAATTGGTGTCACCTGATCATTAACTTGAATGGGCGACAGCGGCCGCTTGTAAACACCAGATTAGGCATTCCTGCTGCAGGAAAACGCAAGTTTCTGATGCAGGAATGCCTAATCGCACCTAAACCTACTGATATATATGGGGCCTTATTGAGTGTGTATTAGGGTCCATAGTACCAAACCAGATATAGTTACATTTTATTTTAAAGTTTGAAATTTCGCGAGCGGCCCCCATGGGAGAAAAAAATGTGTCTAGTGGCCCCCGAGGGAATTTAGTTTGAGACCCCTGTTCTAAAGGGATCAAAATAGTAAGACTTTATTGTAAAACATAAATAAATGTGGCTTTGGAGAATGTTCATTGTGTAGATGTGTACAAGGAGAAAAAAGCTCAGGGTTTTGTGTTGCTTTAACTGCTTGTTTTTGTCCAGGTTAAAAAAAAAAACACCTCACCTAAACTGTGAAGCCGGCTTGTTCCATCGGTCCTTCCAGCCTCTCTCCCCCTACGCTGTAGTGGTCTAAAGGTCCCATAAATCATCACATTCTATACATTAGGATGCTGAGAATATTCCAATGCTGCAGCAATGGAGGAGAAAGGCTGAATGGAGGTCTGTGACAGCTGGCCAGCTCGGAGCTTCAGGGGAGTATAAAACTTAATTTTGAACCTAGGCAAAAACCAACACTTAACCCTTGCAGTGCGGGGGGGGGGGGGAGGGGGTTTCTTGGAGTTTATCTTTAAAGCAGTGAATCTGACATTTACGAAATCTTACCGACAGTAATTGATTCGCAACAAATGAATGTTTGATTAAAGCCACAGTCACAGATTAAAAAATATGCTCCTTAGGTCTAGCCAAAACCAAAACCTTTTTTTTTAATTAATTAAGGACAGCGTGGAGAAGGGTTAGAACTCTTGGTTTTTATTGCTTAATGTGTCCATGAAAGGTTTTCCCTCAGTTTGGAGGGATTTCCCCTACCTTCATTTTGTGTTGACAGGAGGTGAAAGGAAATAACTTTAATGGCACAAAAACTGGCAAAAAGAAAGAGTTTTAACCCTACTTGATCACAAACTGGAAAAAAAGAAAGGTTTGGGCTTTCGGTATATTTTCAGCGAGGAGACACAGAATTCCCTCAGCAATATGGGGACAGCAAACATTAATTTCTTTCAGGCATACTTGCTCTTACTGTTTGAGTAAAATTCAGTTTGAGCTATTGAGCTCTGTAAACAACTAGAGTTTAAAGCTCCACTTGACAGAAAATTAGAATACAAACTATTCATATGCAATAATTACCTGATGGAAAAAGTGAAATATTTTTTAGACCTCACCAGAAGAAAAGAAATGTGCACAACACTGTGCATTGCTTTTCAATGTCACCTAGCTGCTGGGATTTAAGACTCAAGTCCCAGTGAATATGGTGATCCAATGGCATTTTGGCAACATATACACTCAATGTATGTACAGTGATGAGACTGCTCACCTTCCCATCTGGATAGGATACTTCTCCCTGGACATCATCACTTTCTTTCACAGGAAAGCTCTCACTTTTCATTTCCGTGGGCAGCACCTTTTCAGAAACCTGCAATTAAATGTATTTTTGCAAAGTACTAAACAAGTTTGGTAGTACACAGAAAAATAAGCAACAGGAAATCCTGTACTGAACGAGAAATGTGTAAAGGAGAAAAAAAAAAAAAAAAGGATTTCTGCAGGGAACTTTTGTCTAAATGAAGCTGTAGCTTGAACCATGCACACCACATCCAGACAGTGGAGAGAGCTCTTTAGGATGGTGAGGAGCAGGACATAGAGAAGGCGGGACAATGTCCTGGTTAAGGTGGAAGGGAGAAACCACTTTAGGAAGAAAAGAGGCTTTTGGTCTCAAAACAACTGGGTCCCTATGCAGTACAAGGAGGGGTTCCTTATAGGTTAGAGCCACCAATCCTGAGATAAGTTGTGCCGAGGTGATGGCTACAAGAACTTTATCAGTGAGAGTAGACAGGGAAATATCCCTGAAAGGCTCAAAGGGTGGTCACTAGAGAGCCAACAGAACTAGGCTGAAATACCACGGCGACAAAAGGGAAACAAACAGGTGGAGCAATGAGAGAGACATCTTGTACAAAAGCTTAAACAAAGGAGTAAGAAACTAGCGGTCTCTGGGGGAAAAAAAACAAAAAACAACACCAGGAACCGGATCTGGCACTTAATGGAGCTCAATGGTAACTGCTGATCCAGAACAGAATAGAGAAAGGACAGGATTAGCATCTGAGTAGCTTTGCACCATGAGAAATATGCCTTCCCAGTGCAATGGTAGGCCTCACGAGAGGCCTACTTCCTAGCCTTTAACAGGAGAAAAATAACCAAATGTGATAAGTCCCTGTCCTTCAGAACATGGGATTCAACAGCGCACAGAGAATCTGCCAGGTGACTAAGGAGGCCCAAGTACCACACTTACCTGGCAAGTATGTTGCAATGGGAAACATCAGAATTCCCTCAATTTAAATCCTGCATAGGAGATGAGGGAGAAGGTTTAGAGGAGGAAAGGGGAAGATCTGGATTAACTGGTCCCATGGAGTCCCCAGAGCATTCACTGCTGGGGCCTGGGGGGGGGTCCCTGGATCTGGACAAGAACCGTTACAGTTTGTTGTTGAACCTAGAAGCAAGGAGGTCCACCTCCAGCATCCCTCATCTGTGAAAAAGATCTTGTAACACCTCCGGGTAAAGAGACTATTCCCCGGAGTCCTGACATTGGCAACTGAAGAATTCCACCTGCCAATTTTAAACACCTGGAATATGGACCATTGACAGAGCTGGTATATGGTTTTGCCCAAGTCAGAATTTGATCTGCTTTTCTAAGCTGCAGAACTTCTGGTTCCCTTTTGGTGGTTGATGTAAGCCACCGCTATGGCATTGTCCAAACAAATCCTGCTTGGATGTCCCTATAGTTGAGAGGTCTGGTATTGCACGGATAAACAAATTTACGCAGCACTTTACATAATTGCACATTCACGTCAGTCCCTGCCCTCAAGCAATTTACAATCCAAGGTCCCCATCTCACATGTATACATACAGGGCCGATTTAGACAGGGGCCAATTAACTTACCAGCATGTCTTTGGAGTGTGGAGGATACTAGAGTACCCGGGGGAAGCACTAACCACTACACCAATGTGCCTCCACAGTAAGCAGATACTCCTCAGGTACCAAATCATTAGAGCTGCAGCTAACGATTATTTTCAAAATCGATTAGTTAGCAGATTATTAAGTTCGATTAATCGGTTAAAAATAAAATAAATGTAAAAAATGGCTCCAGTGGTGGGACTTTAAAGTGACCCTGTGTGTGTTGTGAAGTAGCCACTGCTTCAATCTAGCTTCTGCGATAGAAACAATCTCAATACAAATTAGTAAACTAAATGTGAGCTTGTGATAGACACAATATTGTGCAGTTCTGTTCATGGTTATGGTAGTTGAATGCATTTTTTTTTAAATAAATTCTGTTTAAGATTTAATTCCCGAGTTTAGGGTCACTTTAGGGGTATACTACAAACCCTCCCCACTTGTGTTAGTAAACTGGTTAGGCCTGTTGTACAGCTGCTGCAGTTATGACCCACCATTAATGAGAAAGCAGACAATATTCCTGTAAGTGATACTAGTTCTGACCCTGAGGAGCAGAAGGGTTGACCTTGTCACTAAAGGCAGCAGGGAGCCCCAAGACATCCTGAGGACCGGTGAGTATGCGCAAACTGCAAAGCTTACAGGCAGTATGGCTGTGGTTGAACACACTCTAATAAATAAACCCTATGTGATGTACGGACAGAGAGACTCTCAAGGTAAAAGCGCACAGACTTGCACACCAAATGAAGCACACCATACATTTCCGATGATAGACCTCGCTGAAAATAGCCTTTCTAACCTAAAGCATAGTAGAGATCACACATTCAGAGATGCTCCTGTCCCTCCAAACCGCCATGCTGTTAAAGCCAGAGACTGAAGCGGGATGATAAATCGTTCCTTGGACCGAATAAGATTCTGACAGAGCCCCAAACCATCCAGCAGAAGTCTTAACAGATTGGTTGCGTAGCACATATGCCTGGGCCAGTCTGAAGCAATGAGAATGACTAGAATGCCCTACATCTTGATACTGCAAAGCAGATGAGGATTAGGTTTTAAGGGGAGGGAAAGCAGAGATTAGGGTATACTGATCCCACAGAGCATCAACTGCTTCTGCTAGAGTATTCCTAGTATCTGGAGAAAACCTATACAATTTGTTGTTGAGCCTGGTGCCCAGAAGGTCGACATTCACTGCGCATATGTTCTGCCATTACAGAGCAAGCAAAAAGTATTCTTACAAATGGTAATCATGACCCTGTGGAGCAGACAGGTTAGCAGCCGAAGTGGCCTTGTCACTGGAGGCAGCAGGGAGCCCCCAAGACGTCCTAAGGACTGGCACATGTGTGCAATCTACAGAGCTTACAGGCAGCGCGGCTCTGCACGCTCTAACAAAATGGCACACATGTGAAGAACGATCTGGGAAAAGGCGGCTCCTGAAACAGTAATGGGGTCAGATTTAAATGGCACTGTGTTCCACCCCCCCACTGGCTGTAAAATAAAATGTCAAGGCCAGCAGCACCACATAAACTCCAAAAGGGAAAGTAGTAAACTGTTAGTCACACACCCCAGAGCTCCTCAATAAAGGGCAAACGGCCCAACCTGCCACTGTTGGTGAGAGAAAGCAACCAAGGCAAGTTCAGGATTCCCCCAGACTTTGCCCTCCTAGCAGCCACTCCATCAGGAGTCTTCAGGGACAGGTGGCCACTGAAATGTGAACCATGACCTGGGCATGTAAAGCATTCTATGGCTTCCCACCACATTGCATTAGGCTATCACCCCTCAGTACCAAAGGTGCAGTGTCCAGTGCACGAAAGACACATTACATGTTGGCTGTCTTTTTTCAATTGTGTCTGGAAGCACCTTCTGAGGCTATGCCAAGAATCAGCTAATCTGCATAGCTGTTAGATGAGCACTAGGGTTTCTGCAGCAACTGAAGAAACTTGCAGGAAAATAAGTTACTTAAATAAAGTAGTAAAAGGTTTTGCTTCTCTCAGGAGCTGAGAGAAGACATCTGTCCCTGAAGGACACCATAAAGAAAACTGAGGCTTGCGGAGGGGGGAGGAGTTATGCAGAGCTTTCCTAACAGCTTTGCTTGCCAATATCCAATCTCCTGGAGGGGGCAGCGTAACTCTACATTCCTGAACACTATGCTGTGTCCTGTAATGTACAATACAGAAATTACTATTGAATAAAACCCCTTACCTGGGAAACTGTACTGGCTGCTGACTCTGGTATCTTCACTCTTGTTAGCTCAGAATTACTAGACTCACCAAGTGACATCTGCCTGAAACTCCGAGAGGACAGTCCTAGAGGAGGAATAGGTACAAGGTCAATCCACACAAACTGAAATTTAGGAGTTTATGAGTGGACTAAAATCATCTGAATGACCCTTTGATTCTGAGTAACTACAGGAGCATGGTCTCACAACATAGAAAAATTGCATTTTGTACTCGCCATAAAATCCTTTTCTTGAAGTCCATTGAGGGACACAGGAAGTTTATAACCTTCAGGTTATACTGCTTCCAAATGGTGGATTGGACACTGGTAAACAAGCAAAAACTAGTACAGAAAGAGTTGGAAATGCGAATGCAAAGAGAAAGAAAGACTGGAGCACAGGCATTGATGTGCCTTGCGTTTCCGTGCGGCTAATCGCATTGCGGCTAAAGAATCGCGCCGGAACGCACTGTGTCTGGTGTGAACGAGGCCTTAATTGAAAAGGGCAGAGGATGCTGCCACAACTGATGGAGCTAAAGAGGACTCCGATGATGCGATAGACTTCAGGAGCAGGCAACATGATTCCAGGCTGCAGATGTCCGCATTGCGAGTATGCCCGCATTGCGAGTATGCCCGCTGCAAGCGACCCCAGAACCATTGGCAGAGTGTGAGTTGAGGGCACCAGAGTCAGCAGGACTGTGCCCTCCCTGTGTCTATTATAAGACTTGTGGCCATGTCAAAGTCATAAAAAGATCCAAGCTTCACATGATTCTTTATAAAAGCCGCAGCGGGAAGATGTTTCCTCAATGATGCATCGCAAAAGAAAAGTGTAAGGGGCACACACTAAAACAATGGATGATATCAATGCACAGTCCCACAGTGTTAACCCGTTTCACAGTAGAAACCAGCACTAAAGGGGAATACTGACGTCCAGTGGCCTATGTAAATGAGATAAGCTCCTCATGCTCAGCCAGACCAACTTACTCACTAAGTGTTTAGAACCAGGGCAAGTTCTGAGGCAATGCCAGTGGCTCTGGACCTGGAAAGTGCTCTGCAACTAATTTTTACCTGAGTGAAATTGAGGAACGCTGGCAGTAGGAATGGTTATTCTAACTACCCTACAGTTTGCCTGTGTGCAATCCTCTGGTGGGCGGCAGTACAACCCAAAGGTTAAGGGCTTCCTGTGTCCTTTAATGGTCGAGAAAAAAAAAAAAACAATTGGCTTGGGGGGAAAAAAAAAAAAAGGATCTTCGTTTGTAGTGGGTTGGCCTGCAAACTACAAAGAACAAATTTCTTGTCACTGGAGACCCCCCGAGGCACAAGAATGGGCGCAACAGTTTTCCCACCAACCTCTACGTCACTACTTTGTCCTTCAAGGCTACGATTGACCTCTTGGTTATTTCTCTGACTAATGCATTATTTACTCCATTATTTGAAAACTGGTGGACTGCCTTCTCTAGACAGTCACAACTGTACTATATGTCTACCATTTATTTTTAATAGTGGATTGCATCTCCAGGGGATAACAATGTATTTGTTAACTTCTCCTGAGCTTTATCTCAGACCTGTTAAGTTTCATGTTCTTGATTATACTGCATGTGTAGATACATTCTCCAACAACAGGTGTTTTTCCTAAGGCAGCGTGACTATTTGCACACTAATAATGTGACTTCTGAAAGCAGCTGTTGCCCTAGCTTCTAGTTATGGGTTTAACAGTAAGAGGGATAAACACTTTCACAAGGAGACTTATGTATTAATAAGGTTTTTTCTACTTCGATTATTTGGACTATTACATGTAGATCAGTAAAAAATAATCAAATCCTCTTCAACTCCAGGTTGTACAGCTATGAATGTGGGAAAATTCCAAGAGACCGAGCAAGAGAAGAGATGGAAAGCACTGTATTTTGTTGAAAAGAGGAAGAATACCTCGCCTAAGAAATGTTACCCAATCCACAGCAAATCTTGACAACAGTGCTTTATATACAGTCATGGCCAAAAATATTGGCACCCCTGCATTTGTCAGATAATGCACCACTTGCAGAAAATTGTTGCAGTTACAAATGTTTAGGCATTCTCATGTTTATTTCTTTTGTTTGTATTGGTATGACAGTTGTTTAGAAAAAAAAAAACCTGACACAATCCACACAATACTGGACAACATTATTGGCACCTTCTCCAAATTGCAAGAAAATATTGCATTCCAAGTTTTTGTGGAAAAGCATGGACAATCTCAAGGTTACAAATCCATCTCCAAGGATCTTAATGTTCCTGTGTTCACTGTGCGCAACATTGTCAAAAAGTTTACAGCACATGGCACTGTAGCTAATCTCCCTGTACGTGGACGAAAGAGAACAATTGATCAAAGATTGCAACGAAGGATTGTTGGAATGGCGGATAAAGACCCTCCATCAACTTCCATACAAATTCAAGTTGACCTTCAGGCACAGGGTACAACTGTGTCAGCTCACACTATACGTCGCCCCATCTGAATGAAAAGGGACCATAGCGGTAGGAGACCCAGGAGGACCCCACTGCTGACACAAACATAAAAAAGCCAGATTGGAGTTTGCCAAAATCCTTTTCAGAGAATGTGCTGTGGACAGACGTAAAAAAAAAAAAAAAAAAAAAAAAGACAGCTTTTTGGTAAAAACCATCATAAACTGTTTTCAAAAAAAGAAATGAGGCCTTTAACCACTTGCTGACCGGGGTGTTTATACCCCCTTCCTGCCCAGGCCATTTTTCAGTATTCAGTGCTGCAGTACTTTGACTGACATTTATTCCGTCATGCAACGCTGTAGTGAAATGAATTTTATACCATTGTTTGGGGACAGATAGAGCTTTCTTTTGGTGGTATTTAATCACCACTGGAGGTTTATTTATTACTATATAATGAAAAAAGTACCGAAAATTTTTTGGGGGAAAAAAACTGTTCTCCCTACGTTATGTTATAAAACATTTATTATTACCCAATTTTTTGGTAAAATATAAAAGACGGGGTCACATCGGGTAAATAGACACCAAACATGTCAAGCTTTAAAATTGCTATCACATAGGGAGCAAAGAAGCTCCCTATGTGATAGGCAATTTGCAGTGACAGGTCCTCTTTATGGAGACATCAGGGGTCATTAATGTCACCTTAGGACCCCCAGAGAAGCTGATGAAGCAGAGACCTGCTTCACCAGCTTCTCTCCGGTTTCTGTACCGGAGAGTGACACTGAATGCAGGAAGTGATGCAATACACATCACTTCCTGCATTCAGAAGGGGAGATCAAACGGAGCTCGTGCACTGAGCTCCGTTTGATCTTCAGCCGCAGAGCTGCTGCACTGGTCCCGTGCTCACACCGGGAACGGCGGAGCCCGGGATCGCCAGCAGCGGCGGAAGGGGCGCACACCCGAACGCATATTACAAGCGATCGGGCGTCTCTACAGACGCCCGAACGCTTGTATGTAAACAGCCATCGCTGGCGGTTTACATTCAAAGCCGGTTTCCCGCTCGTGCCCGCCGCCTAGCAGTCAAACATGGTGGAGGTTCACTAATGTTTTGGGGTTGCTTTGCTGCTTCAGGCACTGGAGGTCTTGACTGTGTCCATGGCATTATGAAACCTGAAGACTACCAAAGAATTCTGGGGTGCAGTGTAGGGCCCAGTGTCAGAAAGTTGGGTCTCAGTCAGAGGTCACGGGTCTTACAGCTGGACAATGACCCAAAGCACGCGTCAAAAAGCACCCAGAAATGGTTTTAGACAAAGCGCTGGAGAGTACAAGACTGGCCTGCAATGAGTCCAGATCTGAATCCCATAGAGCACCTGTGGAGAAATCGCAAAACAGCAGTTGGCAAAAGGAACCCTTCCAATCTGAGAGACTTGGAGCAGTTGGTGAAAGAAGAGTGGTCCAAAATTCCTGTAGAGAGGTGTAAGAAAAACTCATTGATTTCATTTTTTTTTCCAAGGGCTGTGCTACCAAATATTGAGGGTGCCAATAATCCTGTGCAGTCCATTTTTGAAGTTTTGCATGGATTGTGTCAGATTTGGCTTTTTTTTCCTCTCAACTTTTGTGTCGTACCAATACAAACAAGAAATAAACATGAGAAGGCCAAAACATTTGTAATTGCAACAGTTTTCTGCACAAAGCGGTGCATTATCTGACAGAAATGCAGGGGGTGCCAATATTTTTGGCCATGACTAAGTATGTTGCTAAATGCAATGTATTGTATTACATGTGTTGACTCAGACTGCAATATCAAGATCCTAGGTAAAAAAAAACAAGACTGCGGCTTGTGCATTCCTGAAAACCAAAGACCCATCATGTATGTACTTTATAATTTAAGTGCAGTAATGGGCAGCATTTAGCTTTAGAGAACGATCAGACAGACCCACCTTTAATTGGAGACTGACTTCTGAGGACTTTTATGTTCTTTTCTGGTTCAGGAACAGGTGTACGCCTCTGTTTAAATGCATAGAGGAGAAAAGGAGGAGTAATTAATATAAATACACATTTTCATGGCTAACTGCCATTCCCTATTTTAGGAAGCCAGCAGGACAACACCTACCCAAATATATGAGTTTTGCCAGGGTGTACTACCTTGCAGTAGCAAATCTGTCTCAAGCACCTTGGCGAAATCACACTAAGCAGCCCACTCCATTCTCTCAACATAATATGAATATTATTTAATGGATCTACATGGTGCTTAGGGATCATTTGAAAATCATTCACTATCATATTTTGTAAAATGAAAGAACTTCTTATGTATGGCAAAACCCCTTACCATAGACTCTGATCTTCTCAAAAGTGTTGCATGTGCGTCACTTTTCTTTTTGCCGTCTCCTACTTCAGCTTTCTTCCAAGACTCCAAGCGAACTTTTTCTATAAACTTTATTTCTTCTCGAAGTTCAGTATTCTCTTTGGTCAAAGTCTCTATTTGATTCCTAAGGCGCACATGAGTGGTGGACCATTTTGTCTCTTTCTTCTTCAGTTCTTCTTGAAGTTCTTTCACCTGCTGCTTTAAATTCTTAAAAATAAAATTGTGAACATAGAGGTGAATGCAGGTGTAAATCTGTTCCTTGGAAGTTCTACATAGTAATCATGGCTCAAGTACTTATCAAATCAAATTATGAGTTAGCCCTAGAAAAATTATTGGGAACATTTCATCTACAGGTTCTTGAAGTAAAAAATGAAGTTGATTACACTCTGGCATTCAAGCAGTTATAGATTACAGAATTGATGAAAAAAAATTTAAATTTTATTTTCCACTCGCACATTCTATCATTTTAACATACTCACTGATGTTGGGATTCCCCTTAAAGCAAAGTTTGCAAAACAAAAACATAACAGGCTTGACCAAGAAGCACAACAGGGTATCTGCTTCTACCTTTGGTGGCTCAAAAAAACCTTTTCTGTTCATTCCTCTGTTCATTCCTCTGTTCTTAAAGTGACACTAAACTCAGAAGTTAAACCTTAAAAATGCATTCATGTACCTCAACTATTAAAAATGTGGGCATTTGTCTTACGAGCAGGCCACAAACCCGCGACAATACTACGATTCTAGGCGGGTTTTCAAGCCTGCTCGTAAGACAAAAGACGCGCGACCGTACAGCAGAAATGGTGCCCTTCCATACACTTTGCGATTATCGTACGATCGCGGGATTTCCCGTGATTATTGTACGATAATCGCAAGGTGTATGGGCACCTTAAATGTATTAAGGTGGCTTAATTTACTGGTTGGATCTGCCCACCTGGTAAGACCATTAACCTAACAAGGAGATGGCATGCAGCAGTAGTATAGGCTGTATAACCTGTAGTAAAACTACAATGTATATGTAGCTATTATACCAGATATAAATCGTATTGTATTTGGGAAAGTCAAGCCAGCGAATATAGAAGATGAGTTCTTAACTTTTTATATTGACACTCCTTAAGAGCCCATCTACACCAGTGCACTGCAGTTAATGCTTTATGCATTGTGCACTATATAATATGATGCGGTGCCAATAATTCTGAATGCACCCAACATGCACCTTCCTTACCACTGTGCTGCATTAGAAAAAATAGTGCATGCCAAATTTTGAGTCTGCTGTGGTTTGTTAGGCAGCCCATTCATTTGAGTGGGCCGCCTAAGGCTCCTCTAACACAGCCACTCCGATCAGTTCCACCTGTCAGTTTTTCAGGCGGACCCGATCAGATGCTCAATGCAAGTCTATGGGCGGACACGTGTCCGCTTACATCTGATTCCCCATAGACTAGCATGGAGTCCAGCAAATGCAGTTTTTTCCTCCATCGCAAGATGGAGAACAAAACTGTAAGGACACGGATGTCACAGCAATGATATCTGCTCCGTACTGCTGTGATCAGGAGAGGATCCGTGCATCTGTGCTCCTGATCAGCGTGTGTGAAAAGGGGCCTAATGAACATCAACGCTGCCCATTCAGGAAATTGGCCACTGGCAAAGCAAAGCTGTGAGGACAGCCCTGCATCACCGATCCCACTCCTAGCAAGCTTCAGTTTCAGAAAGCAATAATAATAGTGGATCACAAGAAAAAACCAAAGCGGCAAGACCTGTGTCCTGTAATGTACTCCAGGGAAAAGATTTTACAGGCAAGACAAAAATCCCATTTTGTACATTACAGGACACAGGATGAGATTCAGAAACATTGGGATATCCCTAAGCAATAAAATGAGGGAGAGGCAACACAGCAACAAAAAGGCCAACAGACCCAAATAACTACATTTTAACAGGAAGTGCTCGAAAGAGCTCCCAGAAGCTGGTATTAAATGAGGCCTGATGCTGGAAAGCCCAAGAAACACTAACAGATCTAGTAGAGTGTGCTTTGACATGAAAAGGAGGAACCTTGAATGATGATGTGTCTAATCCACCTGGAGCCCCCAGGAATGACGACATAAAAAAAAAAAAAGGCAGCCAGTTTGACTAACTAAAGCTGAAAAGTAAACTCCCACAGTATATATCTCATCCAGAAAGTGAAGAGAAAGCTCCTTAGGATGGTGAGGAGCAGAACATAGAGAAAACTAAGAAAGTATCCTGTTTAAAAAGGTGAAAAAGAGAAACCACCTTAGCAAGAAAAGAGTCCATTTTAGTCTCAAAGCAACCTTGTCCCTCTGCACTACAAGGAAAAGGTCCCTAAAAGTTAGGGGTGCCAACTCAGGGACACATCATACCAAGGTGATCGCAATAAGCAAAGCAACCATATGTGTGAAAGTAGACCGAGAGCATCCCTGATGGGCCCACAGTGCAATTTCTGAAGTGTCAGGTTGAGATCCAACAATGACACGGGAATGAACAGGTGGAGCAGTGTTGTGAGTGACAGCCTGTACAAAAGCTTTCTCTAGCAGTTGGTTCTGCAGAGCTGTCCTAACAACTTTGTGTTGCCAGTGTCCAATCACCTGATGGGGCAGCAGAAGCATACATTTCTGAATAGCACAGGGTGTCCTGTAATGTACGATAAAAATTTAAGCTCTGTATTTGTGCCTAAATGCGACCAAATGCCCAGCGCCTAAATCAATGGCAAGCCATCAAAGATGCTGATTACCAGCTAGCATAAATCTAAATAAACATTCTAAAAAAAATATTATATAAAAACATACTTGAGAGTCTGCAAAGTTTTCTCCTTGTCCTCACGGAGTCTTGCCAACGAAGCATTCTCCATCTTAAATCTTTCAATCTCAGTTTCCAACTCAACTAGTTTTTCTTTCAAGAGCTGAGATCTAGCAAAATCCCCTGCAAAACAAAAATTATTAGGGGTGTAAAAACAAAAAAATCACATAAGCTAATGCGAAGGTCAAACAGTTACCGTAATAGATTGATATCTGCCTAACTTATTTAAAAAAAAGTGTGGGCCAGATGATACATATCCAATAAGAAATACAACATTTGTATTACTATAATTCAGTAAAAGGTGTTACAAATTGGATTATATTAAAAAAAATTTAAAAAAAATGCATGTTATTTTAACCCCTTAGTGAAAACTTCAGAAAACAACATTTCATTCCTGGGGAACGGAGCAATTTTGACATTTTTGCCATGTGTTTGTTTAACCATAACTTTCATCTTCTTCATTCATTGCACTTACACATATTATACACCGTTTTTTTAAAGGACAAAGCAGGCTTTAGTTTGAGGTGACATGTGTAGAGCTGCAGCTAACGATTATTTTCAAAATCGATTAGTTAGCCGATTATTCAATTTTTGTTTGGAACAATGTTAGAATGTGGTATGTTTGTCTCCTCTTTTTAATAGCCTCCTCGGCACTATATTTTCTTATAATTTTTTTTATTAACTGTATAAAGAAACTAAACCCTTTGACTTTTTTTTTTTATTTACAGGGGCTTTGATACTTAGTATATCTGAGGAGAATATAATATACTTTGTATCAGTGTGTAACACACAGCCGGCTCGCAGCTGCACAACACAATGAGCTGCTGTCGGCTAAGTGGTTGTCACGGCAGTGGGATTACAGCAATCAGCTATCACTGTGACTATGACCACCTAATCTGCAGTTGGGGGTCTGCCTCGGACCCCGAGGGACCCATCAACAGCAGTAACTCAATGAGTGTTGGCCTTGGACCAGCGCTCATTGTACTGCATGACAGGATTATCCCATCACCGGTCGTTAACTGAACGATCATGACGGCATAATTCCATCATCGGACGGGAAGGGGTTAATCGCACGCAAAGATTTTGCACCAGGTTTTTAACGCTTTTGCTGCAGGATCAATAAAATTGTAAACAGGTGGCACATTAAAACCCTTTAGAATGGATTCACACTGTTCAGTGTGCATCATAATGTATATGAATACAGTTTTTGTTGCATTACCACTTGGAATTACAATGGATTTTTATTTGGATTACATGTAATGGACATACACAAAATAGTCCAAAGGTGTAGAGAAGTAGAGAAGTACAGATCAGGGTTGGGTTATTACTAAAAATAAACTTTGAGGGGGGCGTGGCCGGCGGCTGCATGTGACTGGTCGCATAACGAAGAGCTCCCGCTCTCGATTTAAAAATAAACTTTGAAATATCTCACGGAGCACCAATCAATCCATTATTTAAAAAAAAAATAATGGAAAGAATATGGCACCACATCAAACCTGCCAAGAGAGGACTGCCCACCAAAACTCACAGACTCAGGCATATGGGAGACTCCCAAACATATGGAAGAAGGTACTCTGGTCAGACGAGACTAAAATATATACCGTGTTTCCCCGAAAATATGACACTGTCTTATATTTTTTTTGGCTCAAAAAAACATTCTAGGTCTTATTTTCGGGGTAGGTCTTTTTTTTTTTTTTGATATACAACAATCCAAAATTAATGCAAATTCTAATTAAATAATCCAAAATGGCAAATTCAAAAATAGGGTGATCAGGGCAAGGGTGCCGTCCCTTTCCAAGAGCAATTTGGTAACCAATCGCTGGCCAGAATGAGCGAAGCGCGCTTTCACTATCGATTCCTCACAGGCGCAGTGCATTGTATCACTCCGCCAGTGACAGGAGCCGGCGCTATAGAGGAGGCATCGGCTTATGCGGCTCTGCTCCCTCCGCTGCCGATGGCTTCATTTGCACCGTTGATTCTCACCCACAGGTCTTCAAGTTCCCCCTTATGCCACCACCGGCCCTGGCAATGGTCACAACTAGGTCTTATTTTCGGGGTAGGTCTTATATTTGAGCAATTCCCAAAAATAGTACTAGGCCTTATTTTCGGGGTAGGTCTTATTTTCGGGGAAACAGGGTATATATATTTGCCATTTAACTGCCTACATTGCCATCTTGTCATGATGTTTCTGTGATATGTCAAAGTTCTGCACCACCAGTGTCACAATGGCATATAAATGGTGCTCTAAAGCTTTACCATTTAGCATATGCTGGAAATGTCTCTAAACAATCCATAAGTCGGGAATGTTAAGCTGCACTAGGACAGTCCTTAATAGACATGTGCACTGCCAAAAAAATTCTTTTAGTTTGGATTTGGATTTTGTGTTATTTTGTTTTTCAGGATTCGGGTGTGAAAGTCAATTTGGACGGAATTAGTTAGCGGTAGTTCGTTCAAACGTTCGTTTTTGTTTCTTATTCGTTTCGTTCATTCATTTGCCGCAAAGTGACATTTGAGGGGGGAAATTTTTTTTCTCCTTCTCTAATGTCACTTTGCTCCAACGAACGACCAAACGAAACGAATAAGAAATGAAAACGAACTAATTACTGCTAACGAATTTCGGAAACGGAAATTCGGATTCGTTTGCATTCGTTATATCTGTAATTCAGAATTCAGAGACATCCGAATTTCCGAAAATTCGTCCGAATTTCGATTCGGAACGAAACGCACATGTCTTGTCCTTAACACTGGAGAAAGGAAGCAGGCATATCTGACCTTTGTGTATATTGGAGTCCTAGACTGGATAGTCTGCACTGAAATTGCCAATCATAACGTAGTCCTTTTTATGGTTTCTGCTCAAACATATTAAAAAGGGAAAGGGAGGTAGGTACGTCTATGGATAATTTAATGTTGAAATTATCTATTCTAAGGCCTGTGTTAACACAGCAGTACTACAAAGTAAGCTCAATAAAAAAAAAAAAAGTAAGAATGGAAAGAGAAAGTAATTTGACAACTGGCCTTAGCATTAGGCTCTTCCGCTACTCTCCCTGTAGCTTGTTTGTTCTTCACGTCATCTTATTAGATTTCTTTGTACATCAATGCCTTTCTACATCTCAACTGCTTAAATTATCGTAATAAAACATTTATGGAAGGAAAAATTGCTGGCATTTATCTACTTAATGTCTTTCCTCCTTTGCAGCACTTTGCTACAAAACAGGTGCACTCCAATAACCACTGCTCCAATATTACTTCAATTGACCTTACCTGGGCCTTCTTGAACTGGCGCGGGTTTAGACAAAACCTGAGGTTCCGGCTTTGATTTTGGCTTTAGTGCTGGAAATAATTTCAGCATCAGCTCAGATGCTGGAGGGTCAGGGGAACCAGCAGTTCCGGTCTTCGCTGGATCTCCTTTCTTTGATACCTTCCTGGTGATGGTTTTGTCAGGAACATCTGTAGGGCTTCTGCTAGAATACTCAGATGGAATAAACTTCTTGTTGGCAAAACTGCTTTCATAAACACCTTTAAGGCTTTGCACATTGCCAAGGTCATCCCACGTCCGTTCATCATCAAACCCAACCTCACTTTCACTAGAAGTAGATGAGCTGTCATCTTTTAGAGACACTTTGCTATCATTTGCCAACAAAGTTTTTTCTTCATTGTCCTGATCCTCTCCATCTGACAAGTCCAAGTCAAGATCTCTACCCTTAGTTTCCTTGTTCAGTTTTTTAGAAGGTCCTTTCAGTTCAGCAGTTTTAGGGTCAACTTCTCCGCTACTGTCCTCACTTTCCAGATCTTCATTTCCACTTAAGGCTGAATTGTTGTGTTCATCCCCTGAGGAAGCATAGTCCCCCTCACTTGTAGCAGGTTCAGAATCTTTAGAGGAGGTTTTAATTTCATCTCCACGACCTTTGGTTATTTTATTTGACTTCTGAGTCTGTTCGCCAAGCCCAGCAGAAGAGACACATACAGACTCCTCAGTTTTGTGGTTCAGTCTACCACCATTTGCGCTCCTAGTACTGCTGAACCCTTTTTCCTGATGCCTCTCTGCAGATTTCACAGGAGTGGAGGACAACCTGCGCAGCCCATTATCAATTAGATAATTTTGATCAAGGAGCTTCTGTACAAAAGAGGAGTTGCTGGAGAATGATATGTCCTCAGCAGCTTGCTCTAGAAGGAGGAATTCATTTAATTCATAGTTTTCAGTCTGCTTATCTCTGTTCCATTGTGCTTTCCTCTTTTGGAAGGAGATTTCAAATGAAAATTCTGCTGGGTTAGAACTCTCAGTGTGCAAGTCACTGATCTGTGAAGAACCATTTGGATTTTTTGCCTCTTGCACCTTAGAACCTGGTTTCCTTAGTGGTTCAGATGACTTAGTGTTGTCAACATTTTCTTTATCAGTTTCTGAACTAGCATACCTTTCGAGCGTCACAGAACTTCTCCCACTTGAGGATGAGATGTTATCCTGCTGCCCCTGTGATAAAATAGTTCTGTTTTTTGTGTTCTTGTTTTTAAAATGTCTTTGATGAACCAATTCAGTTTTTTCTTTCACAGTTTGATTTGTCACCTTTGTTGATCCAAGATAATTTTCTAACCCTTGCTCTTTAGTCAACAGAGCAACTTTCCTATGGACTTGAGCTTTCTCAGCTTTGTGAGGAACTGCGTTCTCAGAATTGGACAGTTTTTCAGAATTGGTTTTAGATTCTTGAGATTTCGGAAGTTTCTTGTTTCCAACTTTAAACCTGGCCAGCCCTTCTCCCCGACGAAGAAACGGTCTTTTTACTACAAGTTTGCTCTTTGCCTGAGCTTCTGGGCCCTATAATACAAAAAAAAAATGCATGAAATATCTTTTTGTACTATTAGAGAAGATCTTAAAAAAGCAACACGTAGATTTTTAACACATCCTTATAAACACGGCCCAGTTGCAATTACGAAAAAAAAATGAACCCTAGAAAATAAATGTATGAGGTCCTCATTCCTCCAACAGCCATGCTGAGCGATGCCATAAAAATGTGGACAAAAGAAACGAGAAAAAAAATTCTGTGCTAGGCCACCACTTATCCAGATGTTACTGGTGGAGGTTGCCACTAGAGCTGCAGCTAATGATTATTTTCAAAATCGATTAGTTAGCCGATTATTAAGTTCGATTAATCGGTTAATCGGATAAAAAATAAAATACATTTTAAAATATGGCTCCAGTGAAGGGACTTCTAGTTTGTATTGAGATTGCTGTCCATCACGGGAGCAAGTTTGGAGCGGTGGAAGTAAAAAATAAAAAAAAAGTGTGGTGGACAATATAGTGAAATGAAAAGTGTAAAATTATACAGCAATGAATGCAGAATGGCACCAGCTATAGAGGACTCCAAATCCCAGCAATAGTACATTATAGCTGGCGGTATTCTGCATTGCGCTGTATAATGTATTATTGCTGGGTTTTGTAGTCCTCTATAGCTAGTGATATTCGGCATTGCACCACTGTATAATGTACTATTGCTGGGATTTGTTGTACTCCTCTATAGCTGGTGGTATTCCGCATTGCGCTGTATAATGTATTATTCCTTGATTTGTAGTCCTCTATAAAGCGCAATGCAGAATACCACCAGCTATATAGGAGTACAACAAATCCCAGCAATACATTATACATACAGTGTATAATGTATTGCTGGGATTTGTATTCCCATGTATAATATACAGCACAATGTACCATCAGCTATAGAGGAATACAAATCCCAGCAATACATTGTAGAGCACCATGTGTGGGTGGGAGTGCAGGCTTACCTGAGCAGTCTTCCAGCAACTTGTTTCTGAGATCGGGCCTGTCTATCGGCGGCTGTCATCCGCCCACATCTGCTCCTCTGGCAGCGGCGAGCGTGAGTTGGGGAGGAGGCGTGGCGCGCAGCGTGTGTGGAGCCGTGAACAAAGCCAACCAATCAGAAGCCGATTAATCGATGATTGAAAAAGTTGACAACTTTTTCAATAATCGATTATAATCGATTATGTCGATTAGTTGTTGCAGCCCTAGTTGCCACAGACAAAAGCATGGTTTTTATTACTTCCAATTATCTAAGGCAGGCACAGACAAAAAGGTTCTTAATTTAAGGTGAGCTTCAAAAACAAAAAATTATAGATTTCCTTCTTTTGTCTAGAAATTTCAAAAAAGGAAAATGTTTTAATCTTGTAAAAACCTTAGACTAATATGGAATAAAATATGTTACATAGTTACATAGTATTTGAGGTTGAATAAAGACACATGTCCATCAAGTCCAACCTAGTGTGTGTGTGTGTGTGTGTGTGTGTGTGTGTGTGT